GTTTCTTGTTCAGAAACTTGCGGCGCTTCTGGATTCATTTCGTTTGTATAAACTGAAACTGGGTTCACTGGGTATCTTGAAAGAGCATCAGCATTAGAGTTAATTTTTCCTTTTTTATATTTTATATTGTAATTATATTCTTCTAGTTTCAGTCTCCATCTTACGAGTCTGGATCCTGGATCCTTACAGTTAAAGAGCCATTGGAGGGGTTTATGGTCTGTGACAATGGTGAAGGTATTCCCATAAAGATAAGGTCTAAACATTTTAGTACCAAAAACTATTGCTAAACATTCTTTTTCTGTAGTGCTGTAATTTGTTTCAGCTTTATTAAGAGTACGAGATGCAAATGCAAGGGGACGGTCTTTTCCTATTTCTCCTTGAGATAGAATTGCTGAAATGGCGTACTTCGATGCATCACAAGTGAGAACAAAAGGTTTGGTAAAATCTGGATAAGAGAGTATAGGAGCTGTTAGTAATTTACCTTTCAAGGTTTCGAATGCAAGTTGCTGTTCATTATTCCAGGTGAATGAGGTGTTCTTTTTTAAAAGTGAAGTCAGGGGTTTAGCTAACATGGAAAAGTCTGGAATAAATCTGCGATAGTAGGAAATAAGACCTAGAAAGGATTTTACGTCCTTTGGAGTTTTTGGAGTAGGAAACTCTTTCACGGCTTTAACTTTGTCAGGATTTGGTCTAACTCCTTTATCCGTAATTATATGACCTAGATAATTTACTTCTTTACGTAGAAACTCGCATTTGTCTGGTTGTAATTTTAAATTGAATTGACGTAACCTATTGAATACTTTCTGTAACTTTTCTATATGTGAATTTAAATCATAGGAATAAATGACAATGTCATCCAAATAAACATAGCAATGTATACCTTGGAGACCAGATAATACGGTGTTCATTAGTCTTTGGAAGGTAGCTGGAGCGTTTTTTAGCCCAAATGGCATCCTCTTAAATTGGAAGTGTCCTTCTGGAACGGTGAAGGCTGTCTTATCGGCATCTTCTGGTGCTATTTGAATTTGGTGAAAACCTGACGCTAAGTCGAGAGTAGAAAAATATTTACTATTACCTAATTGATCTAAAATTTCATTTATTTGGGGAATGGGGTACGATTCGCCTATGGTTATATCATTGAGTTTTCTGTAGTCTATTACTACACGCCATTTTCTTTCGCCAGAGGCATCAATTTTTTTTGGTACAACCCATATTGGTGAAGACCATGGTGATACGGATGGCTGAATTATATCTTGATCTAACATCTTATTTATTTGTTTGTGTACTTCATCTTTATGACACTGTGGAAACCTATATGATTTTGTATTAATGGGAATATCGGAGTTAGTTTTAATTTGATGTTTCAGTGCATTTGTATATGTTAGTTGGTCATCAGGTAAATGAAATATATCAGAGTACTGAGAGCAAATATCTAGAAGTTGTTCACTCTCTTCATAATTTAGATGAGATATTCTAAGAGATTCTAGAACTTGTTCAGTTCTTTCTATTGTATTTTGACAATTGTTTACTAAATTTACATTCTGTGCTGGAATTTTCTCTAATTTGAGTTGTAGATTAGAATTTACTTGGATAGGTTCTTCTGTAATATTTAATATAGTAATGTTAACTCTATTGTTAGGTTTCACTCTTACCATGCAATTTGAAATAAGTATTTTATCCGAAATTTTCTTATCTAATATTAATCCTTCTTGAATTTCAGGATTTACAACAGTGCATTCTATAACCGTTTCAGATCTAGGTTTTATAACATATGTAGGTTCGTGAAACATAAGGTAAGTTTTATAGTTATTTATTTCTAGGCTGTTGGAATTGTAATTAATTTGACAATTATATGTCATAAAAAGGTCAGTACCAATAATACCATCATATGGAAGCTGTAATTCGTCAAAAACGTGAAATTTATGACATATATAGTTGTTACCAATTTTTAATTTTAAGTTTACGTAACCTAAACTTTTCAATGGAGGTTCGTCTTTCGAATTTATTCCTCTTACAGAAATATTGTTGGGGTACACTTTTAAGGTGTTTGATAGTGCTGAACTTTTAACGAGGCAGACTGAGGCACCTGTATCTATTAATAATGACAGGGGTCTAGAACTGCCAGAAGTTGGCAATTTAATATGGGGTAAGTATCTATTATTATTATTACTTGTTATTTTATAAATCTTATTCGTGCCATTTTTAAGATTTTGTCGCGTCCGACACGTTGACGGGACGACTACTCGTTTAAAGTAGGCTGTTGACAGTCATAATCGTCGTCCTCGTTGGGTTTATCCTCAACGTATGAGCCCGTTTCCTCATAAGGGAATGAACTCCCTTCTTCTTCATAATAAGAAGGATCATCCTCTACAAAATTTATACGAGGTCTATTAGGATTACTCGAATTTTTATTACTAAATTGAGGCCTGGAGTTATTAGTAAGTCGATTATATTGACTAACTTGTCCTTGACCTTGAGGAGGTCTTGGGGTAAATGTGGTAGGCGCACTATTCGGATAACGCTGCAAAGGGTTAAAAGACCTATACTGATTAACCTGCCTGGGTACATTATTAAAATAATTATTTCTATGAAAATTATTACTATTTGTAAATTTATCTACTTTATTAGGTTTTTCAAAATTTTCCGCCTTTTTATATAATGTTTTCTGAATTTTTTCCTCAGAAATAGCTAAACTAATGGCCTCATTTAAATTTTTAGGCGATCTACACCTAACTATATTCGATATGCGTGGGTGGAGACCCATCAAGAAATGGTGGAGGGCTAGGTCCTCCATAGCAGCTGTTCTGCCTGGAATCTCTAATTTTTTAGTAGGATTCATAGAAATCTCTGTCAAAAGTTGAGATAAGATAGATTCAATTTTAATAGAAAATTGTGTGACATTTTCCACAGATGTTTGTCTACATTCCTGTAATTCGCTTATTAAATGAGAATAATGTTTCCTTTGACTAAATTGAGTTTTTAGAAAATCTTTTAATTGGTCATAGGATGTAAAATCTTTTATTGAGGCTGCTATTTCAGCCTTGCCTTGTAGTTGACTCAAAATGTATTTAAATAATATATGTTTTTGTGATTCAGATGCAAGTTCGTATGCGTTATTACAATTTGTTAGAAAAGAATTAATTGTATCCCTAGATCCGTCATAGGGTTTAATAAATTTCAAAAGAATATTTAAATCAATTTCATTTATATATTTCTTTTCCGTTTTAGACACGGCGGGTGAAGGCGCTTTTTCTCCGTCAGTAAGCGGAACTATTGGGATATCAACTTTTTTAGCCATTTTTAAATTATTTTATCACTCGATCTGGATAGTTTGTTTACAAATTAATATTATATTGTAAATATTACAAAAATATAAAATCAATAAAAATAAACAGAACAATCAGAAAAATAATAAATCAGTATTAAATATTCATAAAGTATAAAGTATTATAACTTTTGTTTCAATAAAATATTCGTCAGAATAACAATTATTTAAAATAGAAAATTGATAATAATATATTATATTGTCTTTAACGCGCAACTTCCAGTAATTGTTTTGATTGTAATATTATCTATCACTCACGTGTGGGCCACAAGTAACACGAACACGACGCGGGTGGCGACGAGCTGCATTCTTGTAGATAAGGCCAGACCTTGTATGCCCGCCAGCTCAGTGGTCACAGGTTCAAAACCTGGCGTCGTTCCGGACGGGAGACGAACACGGCACACGTACTAGGTCCTCTGCCAGTAGACGTAGGCGTCTCACTCTCTGGTGGACAACCTGGATTTTCACTAACACTTTTCACAGCTTTTATAGCTTTTCACAAATTTTCACAACTTTTCACTTATGGTGGTTCCCCACTTATTTGAAGTTACGCGGAGCCGAGAGTTCGCGGTCATTTAAGGCACAAGAATTTTCGTATAATCCTGGGGTATCCGTGATTATTATAACCCCCTGGGATTATTATTATCCCACCGCTGCCACCAATTGTTATGGGTCCCTGGATAAGACCCTTTTTAAAAAAAAGATTTATTTATCACTGAAAACACTTTAATAACTTTATTAATTATTTATACAATATATATGGGATATTAAGAGCTAGTGCTCTCGACCGACGATACTCTCGAACTGACTTAATACAAATTAAAGGACATATATATAGAGTACAAAATGATGATAGCTAGTAGGGCTATAACATAAATAAGCAATAACCCATACAGCGAAGGGGTATAACAGCACGTTGGGGGGGGACACTGACAACACCCTTGCCCTCACTTTAAACAGTAATATTTTTGCTAACTATGGACTGATTTTAAATGTATTCAAGGATAATTATTATTTTAAAGTAAATACTTTGTAAATAAGCAGTAACTGTCACTCAACTACATTTGTAACATTTATATTAATGTCGCATTATCTGCAGGAATAAAGTAACAAGGAACTGTTTCCCTCCCTTTGTAACTTAATTTCTCAATACAAAAACCTAATACCACTTTTTGAATTGAGACTCGAATCTAAAATTCATATTAAGTTTTTTAAATTCTTTTTTTTTTTAATTCATATTAGTAATTGTGACGTAGGGACGCTCCCAAATCATACGCACATATAAACTTTCACATATCTAATCAAACTAATCTAACAAAAATTAAAGAGTGCGTGTATGAATGTGTACACGCGCAAGAAGTAAAACTTCTGTAGGTTATCGGTACTCTTTATGAAATTCAATTTATGTTTTAAATAATTAGGATAGCTGAGATACTAAAAATATCGCATATCAGGCATATTACAATAGCATTATATATCATTGGTGAGATAATAATAACGCTTACCGTGGCAACAAACGTACGTACATATTATCGTAACGCATTCACCGGCTTCCCCCCCAAGTCAAGCGTGCGTAAAGAAGTTTTACTTCGAAAACCCCATGATGATAATAAGTAAATTTTTAATTGTCGTAATTAAGAAATAAAGTCGATGACATGTACCGTGTCGCGCTCAGATAGAGGAGGGGCTGGAGCTGTCGCAGGCGGCGCTGGCGGCGGCGGCGGCGGCGGGCGGCGCGGCGGCCGGCCTGCTGGCGCGCTGCCACCTCTACTGCGGCATCGGCCACCAGATGAAGGCGCAGGTCGGCTCCTTGATAAATAAAAACTATATTGGTTTTCTGTAAAGTCGGTTTACGGACGATAATTTTACGTGATAACGTCATAATAAAACATTAATGAAAAATTGCATACTTTTATGAATTGAATTATTATATGTACTGAATTGCATTCGTTAATTCAAATATGTTTTTATTTTTACTATACAAATTAATTACAAGTAACGATGTGCTATTAACAACTTTTGCCTCTCTATTGCTTGTTCAGGAAGATATTAAAATAAGTAATGAATTAATAATATAATCGTGTAACATAACAGAAAACAAATTCTCGTATCGAGAAGGATTCACACAACGAGAGCGGGCTGCGGATGCTGCTGCGGGCGGTGGAGCTGGACGACAACGACCACCTCGCCTTCTACCACCTCGCGCTGCAGTACGTGCAGCTCGGCCAGCTCAACGAGGCCATGGTGCGCCGCCACTGTTGTATACTCTGTGGAGATTGTCGTTTGTGTGGTTAACGTTTGTTACCGATAGGTCGATACTGATGATGAAAAAAAAAGATAACGAGTTACTATTGGTCCCGCTGAGTTTCTTTCGATAGTTCTTCTTGGGTTTAAGGCTTCTTCTTTCCGAACTGGTAGTAGACTCATGACGTTCAGTGAAAAATTGTAATATTTTTATTGTATTAATAATTGCAAAAATAAATAAATAAAATTGAAGTGTCTGTTTGTGATGTCAAAACAATAGCGTTTTATTAAATACATATGAAATTATACACAGTACTTATAAGAAAAATACAATTTTTTAAATTTTTGTCTGTCTTTCTGTCTGTTTGTTCCGGATAATCTCTGAAACAGCTGGACTGATTTTGACGGGACTTTCACTGGAAGATAGCTGATGTTATAGGGAGTAACATAGGTTACTTTTATTTTAAAAATAGAATTTGGGTTCCGCTTAAAAAAATTAAAACGTACCTAGGGATGAACCCGAGTCGCTAGTGTTAAATATAATATTTTGAATCAGAATATGGTGTCGTGCAGGAAGCGACGCGGGAGTGCCTCGCGTCGCACGGCGAGTGCGCGGGCGGGCTGCGGCTGTGCGCGGCGCTGTGGGGCTGCGGCGGCGCGCGCGGCGGCCGGCGCGCGCTGGCGGCGGCGCGCCTGGCGCGCGCGCACCACCCGCGCGCCGCCTGGGCGCTGGCGGCGCACGCCGCGCTGCAGCTGCGCTGGGAGGGCGGCGACGCCGCGCTGGCCACCGGCCGCGACCTGCTGCGGCTGCTGCACGCCGACCGCGACGACGACGATCACGACGCCGACCGCGACCGCGACCGCACGCCCGGCGCCGACGCGCTCTCTGACTCGCAGCGCGAGGACGCGCTGAGCAATAGGGACGCCGGTAACTATATACTTATTATCGTCAAACTATTTGTTATCGTACTACAAAAAATGTATGCATATAGTTTTAAAATAAATTGTAGCATTATTTAATATTAATGATAAACAAATCCTACATGATTTTTGTTGATACTTAAATATCATTCGATATAATTGCCTGTGTAAACTTAACATCCGACTTTGTAAAAAGTGTTCTTTTTTAAGCTTGTTTAAAAGATTCAGTCAGTGGTGGATAGTAATGAAGCTAACTTCTAACTAGCTAACTTTGTTTGTAGTAGTCCTAAAAAATTACAGACAACAAAAAAATGTCATCCCCCCCAAAGTTATGAAAAAAAATATTTTCCGCCTGATTCTTATAGAAAAACGTTTGTAGTGCAATTTTTTTCGTTTGTAGTAAAACAAAAAAAAAATAGAAGAAAAACTTTTTTGATTACCTAATTCAGAATACTTTTTTATTTGAACATATAATAAATTATGTTTATTCGTAAAGTAATAATTTACTTAAACCATCAGTTGAGTCACCAGGCGCGTGTAAAAAAATTGAAATGAATTGATAGTTTTTATATTGTGAAATTACCTATTGCATTTGTGTGCGTGAATGTGTGCGTATATTTGCATGTTGCATACAATCGCACAAAGTGAGCGGGCGCTTACTATAAAGTTGAAACGCATTGTTGAATTTTTACACTGTACTTATAAATTAAGCCAATGGTAGCCTAGTGGTAACGTACTCGCTTGGGAAACTGAGTGAAGCGGGTTCAAACCCCGGGTCTCGCACCTCTGATATTTTCATATGCGAATTATTTCTAACATGATCACCACACATGCCTTACGGTGACGGAAAACATCGTGAGGAAATCAGCATGTCTGAGGGAATCTAGCAAGTTTTCGAAAGACATGTGAAGTCTGCCAACCCGCACTCGGCCAGCGTGGTGGACTATAACCTGATCCCTCTCGTACTGAAGGGAGGCCCGTGCCCAGCAGTGGGACGTTAAAAAGGGTTGAATAGATACATACTTATAAATTTTGAGTGTGTGTATTAATGGACACATATCAAAGAATTGATGTGTTTTTATATTGTGGTATCATCGTGTCTGGGCTAGTTATTAAAGACATCCCTGTCCATGTGTGCGCAGCGTCCATCCGCGCGGAGTCTGCGGGCGCGTTCCGCGTGGAGCGCGCGCTGTCGGGCGCGGCGGCGGCGGCGGCGGCCTCCCCGCGCGCCGCGCCGCGCGCACACGCCTGGCTGCTGCTGGCGCACCTGTGTCTGCGGTACGTGCTTGGAATCTATACATGTTGACTTTAAAAAATATGTTTTTAGTGTTCCGTTTCGCTCTTTGATATACGATATTTTCATACAATTTATTTCTTAATAACTTTAAATATTCCACCTTTAGGTGTAAATTAAGAAAAATCGATTAAGAGGAAATCTTATGTATCCTTACATGGGGGTAGTGAGGTCAAAAATCGTCAAAATCATACTTACGTAAATATTGAATGGCCCCTAATAAGAAATAATTGCTTGTTTCTGATTATAAATAAAATAATAATGTATGATATAGACTGGACAGGGTGAGCGCGGCGGCGGGCTGCGTGTCGGAGGCGGCGGCGCTCACGCCCTTCAGCCACCTCGTGTTCTACACGGTACGTATGCTGTTGGTGCATAAATCGCTAATAGGTGACATAGAACTACTTGTTACTGCAAGATTTTTATATGTGTTAAAGATGTTATCGATTTAGTTACCTAATATTGTTTATATATATATATATATATATATATATATATATATATATATATATATATATATATATGTATATTTATATATATATATACATATATATTAATAAAAGACACTTAAATAATGAAATAACCATTTTTTTCAGTATCTCTTCTTTCCGAGTTTTAAATTTACCTATATTCTTTATTGCATAAATAGTAAATAAATACACATGTGTAAAGTGACGTGAAAAAGGTTGACTAATCTCTATAAAAGATCTTTTCCAGTCATCCTATGCATGTGTAAAATAGTGTTAAATTTATTATGATTTTTGAATGTTAACACATTTTTATCGGAATTAAAGTAACCTATAACCTCATCGGTGATGTAACTTTCCAATAGTGAAAAAATTTTCTGATGCGGATCAGCAGTTTAAGAGAATATAGTTATAGTTCAATGATTGGAATAATAAACATTCAAAGATTTTTATAATGTAATAACACAATTTCACAAATTTTAAGGGAAAATACCAGCTCACATGTATTGACACACATAATAATTATTAAGAAATATGTAAATATAAATAATAACAATAAATGTCGCCCCCAGCGCGGGCTGGTGCACGCGGCGTCGTCGGAGTGGGAGGAGGCGCGCCAGTGCTTCCAGAACGCGCTCGCCATACACCCCACGCACCTCGACAGCGTCGTGCAGCTCGGTACGCACACACGCATACACACACACACACACACATGTACACACATTCACACAAATTGGTTGCGCTTAATTGCGTCAAAGAGCAATAAACATGGACATATATTATAAAACCTAATATAATATAAAATTCTGGTGTCACAGTGTTCATAACAAAATTTCGAAACGGCTTGACCGATTCTTATGAAATTTTGTGTGTATATTCAGTAGATCTGAGAATAGGACGTACTAAACTATTTTTCATACCCCTAAGTGATAAAGGTGGTCCACCCCAAAGACATAGTTTTAGTTTAGTTTTTTTTTAATTTGTTGGTCAAAATTTTTAATTTGATTTTTTTTATGATTCGGCATTAAAATACATACAAACCTAAATTTTCATTATATATTCATTTCATATTTTATGATATTAATATACTTATGTAACTATTGCGATTCCACAGTTATCATTCTGTCGCTTTTTTCTTATAGTAGTTTTTTTAAACAGAGCCGTAAGAAAATTATACATGTAATTTTTTATTTATTGTATATGAGTTTTATTATGTGTTATTTAATTTTTTTGATTATTTCCAATAAAAAAAATCATATCAATTTATTGATTTATTTATCGAAATATGGTCGGGCCTAGCAATAGGGTATATTTGTTTTTTTTTATTTATTTACACAATAGCTTACATCCTTATATAATTGTAAAAAAAATATTCCAGCTTTAAAAAACTAAAATTTAATATAAAAAAAAAACTTTAAAAATATCATACCGATACAGATACTTTAAACGCCCGTCATTTCACGTACTTGGCGTGATATTAAAGTATGATATAACAGAGCCCGTGCTGCCAATTTAGCGCTAAAAATAACGACTTTTGCTTAAGAAAAAAATCGTTATTTTTAGCAATAAATTGTAGCATTGGCTCTGTTGTATCATACTTTGACGTCACATTTGGTCTGATCAATGGCATTGTGTTTTTGCAAGTATTTTGAAGTTTTCTACCAATTTTTGTACTTTTTAAAAATTATTTTTTTAATTAAAAAGATATCATTATTCATTGAAAATATTAATATATAGATTTACTTCATTCAAAAGTAATAATAAAGATTATAAAAAAAAATACCTGTATTAAATCGCACGCATATGCCCTATTATGAAGTATATATAAGAACATAGGCAGTGGTAGCTCAGTGGTATCGCGCTCGCGCGGGAAATCGACAGCGGGTTCAAATCCCGTGTCTCGCACCTCTGATATTTTCATGTGCGAGTAATTTCTGTCATGATTACCACTGCACGCAGGCGCGACGTACTACTCGCTGGGGTGGCTGCGGCTGGCGGAGCGGCTGCTGCGCGCGGGCGCGGCGCTGCGGCCGGCGCGCGCCGACACGTGGCGGCGCCTGGCGCTGGTGCTGGCGGCGCTGGGCGAGCCCGCCGCCGCCGCCGACGCCGCCGCCGCCGCGCTCGCGCTGCAGCCGCTGCACCCGCCCGACTTCGAGCCCTACCTCCTCTGTGAGTCATTCACTCATTCGTTAATACACGAACCGTTCATTACGAAATCTATCCCATTTGTGAGTCGCGTAGAAGATCACTTCCGTTCATTCCTTCCTCCTTTCGTTCATATACAAGCAGCGGACTTGTCATATGTGGCAGTATAATGCCTTGCATTAGTTTGTTACTTCATTCTTTCATCGTTCAGAACTCTTCATCGGACCCCATATATTAGTGCACTGTCATAGTCCGTTCGTTTATTCATTCATTCCATTCAATCGCTTATTTACTTATATATTCATCTATTAATTTGTATACTACATACACATTAATTCCCTCGCCCGTTCATTCAAAATTATGATCTTAATATTATTGATCTTAAAAAATCATATCAAATAACCTCCCTCATTTAAAAAAAAATCACCTCTAATAATTTCATTACAGTGTTGTATAGAAAAACATAATCATGTTCTAAATTTCTAACTTTTTAGTATCAATAGTATGTAAGTAAAATGATACGGATTATTTTTTTAATTGTCAATTTTTCTTCAGGAACATTTGTACAGGAAGCGAGGCGACTGCCGCAGACTTGGCTGTTATATAAGATATATATAATATTGTAAACATTGTTGACGGACGCACTTCAAATATATCACATCTAGGTTTTCTTTCTGGAATATAGCATAGAGATATATATGTAATAAGTACAGGAAAACATATATTTTGTATAGAACCAGCCATTTAACTTATTATTTTTGACAATTACTAGATTTAAGAGTCGAATGTACATACATTTATTATTAATTTTTGAATATGATAGTTGAGAATGTGATAAATTTGAATTGCCTTCGAGTTTCTCAGAATTTAACATTATGGATGTTGTGAGCGTTATATGAACCTTTATGATGTCTTCCCGCTGGCTTCAATATGCCACAACTTGATAAAAAATTTAAAATCCTCTAACTATGAAAGTCATTTAATGCTTTCTTAGATTTACGCGAATATTTAAGATTTTAAATATAACTATATTTTCGGATTTTTTCACGTTTTATTAAATTCATTTTGTTAAATAAGTTTATAGACCTTTGGGACATCTAAAAATTTAGTCTCTCCAGTGACCATGATTGCTGTAAAGCATTCGAAACGTCGAGAACCAAAAATTAAAATAAATCCGCGAAAAAATTCGAAAAATAATTTTGTTTAAAATATGAAAGTAATTTATATATTTTTTCGTTGTTATCATTTATAAAGAAAGGTTTGTAGGAAATATGGTTTAAATTATGTTTCGCTTTGCTATTTTGTCAATTAATACGTTATCAAAGTAAGCGACCGCCAAACTTGTTTCAAACGAGTGTCTAAAAACACTTTATAATTATATCATGTAATTCATAAGCAATAATACATTATTTTCATAAAACATATATCTTAAAAATAATTTAAAACTAAAATTATTCGCTTTGCAAATATATTTTTTTATATATAATTCAAAAATTTCCAAATGTTCTATATTTTAAAATTTAATAATGTGTATAATCACAACAAAATATTATTTAAAGTATCAATAATTATTGAGATTATTTTGAGAATCGATATTAATCGATTCTAATATATGATGATTGTATTCGATTCGTCACTTGATAATTTGAAAATCGATACTAATCGATTTTAATGTTGATTATTCGATGACGATTGTACTCGATTAATTTTAAATGATTTTATGAAGAATGTTTGAAAGTGAAAAAAATAACGAAATCCTATGTGTTCTAATAACTAATAATACATACATAATTTGTGTAATATTATGTATAATTAAATTTAGTGGTATCGTAGTGACTCCACTGTGACTGATGTTTCGTGATGCCTTGGAATTGACGCTCTCGTTCATTGATTTGAAAGGAATTATTCAAAAAGTTACTTTGAATATTTAATGAATAATTTTCAATTATTTTTAATGAGTCAAACGTAGGTTAGATATTTATCTCGTAAAGGTATTTGTGCAAGTTGCTGGGACGCGCTCGAAATCTACCAACAGGCCTTTATTATCTAAACCTTCATTGTTCGTGCACGTCCCAGCAAGTGTGCACAAGTCTTTATAATATTTCTAATATAATTTCCTTATATTTTCTGCATCTATCGTCCTCTTTTAACATTTGGTTTGTAAATAGTTTATTATATATTATTATAATGCAAGGGTCGTGGGTGTTTCTCCGATCAATACGACTTAGTGATGTTCGTTATCTAGTCCAGTAACTACTTAATTATAAACCTGCTCGAGGGGGACTTCACGAAGTAGTTTCAGTTTTTTTTAATCTATTTATTATCGTCCTGATCCTCTTCAATCTTTTGAAATTAAATTCATTTTCTTTTTTTTTATTTAAAGTAGTAAGAAAATTATTCATTCTTTTTTATAATAGTGTTTAAATCTCTTAATAAAAATTATCGACATAAAGGTAAAAGACATAAAACCTTGATCTCTACTTCTGATGTTTTTACGACAATCTGTCACTTTTCCTAGGAGTTTTTGAACGTTTTAGACACATTTAACCTTTGTAGTTGCACTCGGGTCCAACGTACAGATGGACAGACTTCACACGAGCTTCTAATCGTGGTTTTTATATCTAATTTCGACGGACGCACTCGGGGCGATGGACCTTTTTGGAAGTGTGGGAAAGAGATACTAAATCATGAGAAAAATACGCTTTAATCTAAATCTATATATATAAAAGAAAGTCGTGTTAGTTACTTCGCTTATAACTCAAGAACGGCTGAACCGATTTAGCTGAAAATTGGCAGGGAGGTAGTTTAGAGCCAGGAGAAGGACATAGGATACTTTTTATCCCGTTCGACCGCGTTCCAATTTTTATGATATTTTAATTTTTGGATTTCTCTTAGTTCGGAATAGGTAAGTATTAAAACATATAATTAAAATGTGAGAAAGAAAGATTTTTTCTTTTTATATCTATTTAAAACGTACCTAGCGACGAACCCGAGCGAAGCGAGGGTGAGCCGCTAGTATCTAATGTAATACACGCGAGATTGAAATTTATCTACTAAGTTTTTTCCGCTAAAATTCTTTATTTTTTTTAATACCCGGATTTAATATGCGCGAAATTCGTGGCTTATACGGAATGCTCTAAATAATATTGTAAAAAATTTGGCTCTCTTTGTTTTTGTTTCTACGAAGCCACAGTAATGAATATTTAAAAAAAATCTAATTTAGAATACAAAAGAATAAGTAGTTACTATGACAGTGGCATGTGGCCCCGGGGACTTAATCCGGTTCAGCCCTATGTACATGGTGTTCCATAATACGAATATAGTAAGTAAATAAAAATATAATGTTCAGTAATTTCGGTGAAAGCTGGCTGGTTGGTTGGTGGTAAGCGCGGGTTGGAAAGTGAAGGGGTTGAGAGATATTTATTATAAGGGTAGGTTCCAGTACGGTTACTTCATGTGTCGTTTATATTGTATAGGTTGTAAAATACAACGACGATTTATTTCCTAAAATTGTATATCAAAAGCGGTGCTCACATTCGTTTTCATAAATTCATATAATATTTAATTCTATAGTTTGGTTGTAAATATATTATTGCTTAATAAAATAATAAGAATGCTACTACAGTCCATTAGGTATTAGCAATATTGAAAGTTTTCACGAAAAATCCTAGACCAATAATTTTGCTGTTTCATATTTTTTAAATGTTACCATATATAGTTTTTTTTAAGATAGAAATATATTACACAGATAGAATAGGTCTTAATGAAAAAAAATGCCACTACTTACTACCTGCCTACTATGAGTTCCATACGGTTTTAATTTAAACCCAAGAGTGTTGTGGTAAATAGAACAAAATATCAAAAAACCATACATAAAGATAGCAAGTTTTTCATTTATTATTACTATACATAAGTTACTGTGTTTTTAAGAAACTAGTTCTTATAAGATATTGCTTAGAATTCATTTTGCTTAAAAATATATATCGAAGCCACAGTGTTCAAGACCGTGGGAGTAACGCAACGCAAAGATAATGCCAATTACAATGCAATACATAGATGTAGCATCGGATACTGTACATTCCTAGTCGTATTTATTGCTAAGTTATTTTTTCCATAAGTTAATGGTTTTTACTTAGTCGTCCTTAGCGATATTTGCCGTTTATAAAAAACAACTTTGACGTTTTACAGTAAACTTTTGACTTTACATTAATATTTTAGAAATGTTTGACGTTTTGAAAGTAGTCATTTGACATGTTGTCATAGACGTTTGACGTTAGTGCTTTAATGTAATTGTTTTATGTCATGCAATGAACGTTGACGTAATTCACAGTAAGATAATTTTGAAATATTACCGCGTGAAAAAGGACGACTGAGTTGTACTGTTGGTTCATGGAACAATGTATGTATGTAACATATTAGTTGCGAGGTAATTAACGCTTTTTATGGGATTGTAGGACCATATATTAAGATTTATTATATTTTTCTTGTAACGCTAGCTTATATTTATAGTTTGAAGAGTCATTTGGAACGGATATTCAGACAAAGACGACTATTTAATGGTATAATAATAAAGAAAAAATATAGATTTATGAAAATGAGACTAAGCAGATGAGGTGAACTTTTGATTAGTGTTCTAAAAGAAAATATTATCAAGAGTGTTTCAAAGTAAATAAATACAACACATATATAACACATATGTATATGCTTTAATATAATAAGGTGCATTGAAATTTATTTCCTTCACATAAGGAAGTGCAGGTTCGATTACTGGAAATTTAGATTTGTTCATAAAGTGTAGATCGACACTTGAAGCTATCACTTGTTGGCCGCCTGTCTCTAACGTATATAGATGCAGGTGCAATGTTAATACTATATGTACATATATACTTATTTAAAGTGTACAGGATGGTTGAGATGTGACTACAATATAAATATAGTGACTAATATTTTTTAAACACTCTGTATAATAATTAAAGAGAAACACGCGTCGTCTGTTTTAAGGCGACTCTTGTTGCGATATGAGAGGAATATCTATATTATTTTACTCTCTGGAAGTCCAAAACACGACTAGTAGTAATGTTACCAGAAATGAAATTTGTTTTTTTTAACTTAACCGAAATGTTTGTATTTTCATATGTAGGTACACTGTACAGTCAATCTGTAAAGT